AGGAAGGAAGGAAGGAAGGAAGGAAGGAAGGAAGGAAGGAAGGAAGGAAGGAAGGAGACGTGAGAAAGGGAGGAGGGAGGCAGTGGAGAGAGGGAGGGAGGAAGGAAGGAAGGAATTACAGTTGGGAGGGACCTTGGAGGCCATCTAGTCCAACCCCCTTGGAGGGAAGGAAGGAAGGAAGAATAGCAAATTAACAGAGTTGGGAGGGACCTTGGGGGCCATCTAGTCCAACCCCCTGGGAGGGAAGGAAGAATGACCACAGAACGCCACAACCCCAGTTGTATTGTCCAGCCCCTGAGATTCGATCCCGGGACCAGCAGAACTCCAAACTGGATCCGACCTAGCTCCCCATTGTCCCGACCGTCACCCCCTTCAAACGACGGCCGCTGAGCCCCGTGGCTTCTCCCCTTCCCCCCCCCACCCCGATCGAAGCCGTTCCTTGACCGGGTGTTTGCCTCCCCCCGCAGGGGACCCCCCACCCAACCTCCACAAAGTGCCGCCCGGCGACGCCAGCGAGGCCGAAGGGGAGACGCACAAGCGGCGCAACCAGTTCCTCTCCGTCCTGGTTGCGCTGGTGGCCATGGTGGGCTACGCCTTCCTCTCCGGGATTGTGTCCATCCACAAGGAGACCCCGCGCCACGCCGACCCTCACGCCCTCACGCTGGACGAGGCCGAAGAGGAAGAGGAAGAGGAGTGAGGGGACGCGGGACGGTTTTGCCACACCGGCTTCCAACAGACCTTTTTTTAAAATATTTTTTTTTATAGCGAAGCTGCCTCCGGTACCGCTGACTCAAAAAAAACCCTTTTTTTAATCCATTCCAGGGACGATCGAGCTCAATAAATTAGAGCCACTTGCTGGTTGAACCGTTGGTCTGCCCTTTATTCCTTATTTATTACAGGTTAACAAACTCCAAACGCCTGTCGCTAAGCGAGACTTGCCTCCATGAGTTTGGCCAACTTTTCTCCTGACAAATTAATTAAATGAACCCCTGTCATTGCTGAGTGAGGCACTCCGTTACTAAGTGAATCTGGCTCCCCCCCCCCCACCCATGGACTTGGCTTGCCCGAAGGACGCAAAAGGGGATTGCGTCGTAAGTCCGAGACTGTTGCCAAGCATCTGGATTTTGCAACGGTGTGGAAAGGGTGGAAAACAGTCCTAAGCCATAATTTTTTCAGGGCCATGGTGACCGCAACCGTCGTAAGTGGAAGCCAGGTGCCAACCTCTGAATTCTGAGCGTGTCACTGTGGGTCGTAAGTGTGAAAAATGGTGCTGAGTCCCTTTTTTTTCCAAGGCCGTTGTAACTTTAAATGAGCTGTAAATTGAGGACAATATAATTGGTTGTAATAGGAGCTGTGAATTTGGGGGTCTTGGTATGATTCGCTTAACGGCAGTGATTTATTTTAGAACCGTGGCAAAAGAAAAAAAAAGAGAATTAAGGATCTTATTTCCCACATTTTTGCCTGTATGCGTTAAGGATCTCTTTATTTCCTGTCCGTGTGTGAGAGAGTCGAGGGCTGTTTGGAAACTGAAAGAGTATTTGCTGTGTGAACAAGAAGGGGACAGCAAGGAGCCTGGGTGTGGCTTAGCTCAACTGTTCTGTACTGAAGCTGCTTGGGGCTGTGGAACTAAAACTGAAACTCCTCTGCTTGTGTTTTGCATTTGGAACAGATTTCTTTCCAGGTGGGGAGGGGGAATAGAATATATATATATTCATATTCATATTCATATTCATATATATGTTTTCTGAGGTGAAAGCTTGAAGATGACGAATGAGATTTCATCAAAATGTCGCCAAAATACGTCCAATTTTACGCAGGAGAAAACCCAAATAACCAAAGATACACACACACACATCTATATATCTATATCTGTCTATCTATCTATATCTATCTATCTATCTATCTATCTATCTATCTATCTATCCCTATCTATCTATCTATCTCTATCTATCTATCTATCCCTATCTATCTATCTACACTATCTGTCTATCTATCTATCTATCTATCTATCTATCTATCTATCCCTATCTATCTATCTACACTATCATCTACCTACCTACCTACCTACATATCTATCTATCTATCTATCTACCTACCTACCTACCTACCTACCTATCTATCTATCTATCATTTATCTGGATGGATAATGTATGGAAACTGACGAGGATGGTGAAACTGGCAGGAAGGAGGCAAAAAAACAGAGGCCTGGAATATATGGATCAACCTCAACCTCATCCTGGGCTGCTCAGGAATTTGGCAAAATGTGACAGACGGATTACTCTTTTTAAGATCCGGATAATTTTGCTCTTGATCCCAAGAGTAGGGGCTTCGGAGTCCAATTTTGCACATTGGACAGACACAAGTAACAAAACGCCATTTGGAGACAAAAAAAAAATCGAGGGTCTCTTGGCTTCCTGCCTAACTTCACCCTACTCTTTGCCAAAAAAAAAAAACCCTCCCAGAACCATGAAAGAAAAAAAACCAAAACCAACCAGATATTTTTCTAGAAAAAGAAAAAAAACAGATTTATTCTGAAAACGAAAAGACGTGGGAAGGTAACGGAAGAGAAGAAGGTTGAAACTTAATTCAGCAGATTGTAAGACTACATCAGACTACGTTTCAATCTCTGGTTAAGGCAAGGTTTAGTCAACAGACCCCCGCAGGATTCTGTCGTTCCAACTCCCCTTATTAGTATTATTTTCTCTCCTGCAAAGAAAAGAGTTTAATCCCAAGGGCGGCTGGCTCATTCTTCCGACGGACGCTGCCAGAGGTACGTCTGGATCGAGTCAGCCGTAGCGATGGCATCGATGTAGCCCACCCCGGGATCCGAGATCCCGAAAGGGATATCGTTGGGGGATCTGAAAAAGAAGGGAGAGGTCACCGTGAGAAGGAACGGAGGGACGAGGTACCCAAAGGTGATTTTTATCAGACAACTGGGCTTCCTTGTTTGTTTTTTTCCTTCGGAAGACGTTTCGCTTCTCATCCAAGGAGCTTCTTCCGCTCTAACCGGATGATGGGGAACGGAAGGATTGATCCTTCTTGCGGACAGCTGGTCATTTGCATCCTTTTTAGAGGGTCGTTGAGGCCACTTGGAGGTTTATCTGTGTCCTCAGGGTCACTTGAGCCTTCTCCACACCCATTTGCACTACTCAAGGTGACCCTGAAGACACCGATAAACCCCCAAGTGGCCTCAATGACTCTCTAAAATGGATGCAAATGACCAAGTTGCCTGCAAGGAGTATAAATCCTTCTCAGTCCTCCAGGTCACAGTTGTCCCAAAGGTGTTTTTATTTTTATTTTTCAGAAGGCAACTGGACTTCCTTGTTTTTTTTCTTCTTCTGAAGACATTTCGCTTCTCATCCAAGGAGCTTCCTCAGCTCTGACCGGATAGTGGGGAACGGAAGGATTGATCCTCCCTTGCAGACAGCTGGTCGTTTGCATCCTTTTAGAGAGTCGTTGAGGCCGCTTGGGTTGTTGCACATTGCAGAAACCATTAGCCCCACTCAGGTGACGCGGAGGACGCAGACGAACCTCCAAGTGGCCTCCACTTCTCTCTAAATAAAGGATGCAGATGACCAGAGGCCTGTCTCCAAGGTGGTATACATGCCACTCACCTGTTCAAGACCACCACAGCTGCCGAGCCGTCTGGACGGAGGAAAGCAGAAAATTCCAAACTACAGGAGCTGCTTTTCTGGATTTCGATCCGTTGAGTCCCCTCCGGAAGGAATTTGCTATGCAGGGAAAGAGGCGCATTGCCCAAAAATAAGGTAAAGAGCAATAGAAATATATCATAAATATAAGCAGACATATAGAAGTAGAAGAGAGAAACAGAAATAAACAGGTCGTCTTCGACTTAGGACCACAAATGTTTGTTTCCTAGTGAGACTGTTGTTAAGTGAGTTTTGCTCCTGTTTAATTGCCACTCGCTTAACAGCTGTCTCGCTTAGCTACAAAAAAATTGGTGGTTGTTACTCAAGGACTGCCTGTATAGAAATATAGAAGTATACAAATATAGACGAACAGAAATACAGATATAGAGAAGTAAAGAAGTCGAGAAATAGTGTATAGAGAGTATATAGAAGTATATAGAAATATACAAATAGAAGTATAGAAATATAGAGAAATGGAAATACAGAAATAGATAATAGAGAAATATAGGGTATATAGGGAGAGTATATAGATGTATAAAAATATACAAATAGTATAGAAATATAGAGAAATAGAAATAATACAGAAATAGAGAAATAGAGTATACAGAAGTATAGAAATATACAAATAGAGAAAGAAATAAGAGAAATAACAAGAGAAATATAGAGAGAGCATATGGAAATATACAAATATAAGTATAAAATAGAGAAATAAATAAATAGAGAAATAAAGAATATATAGTACGGAAATATACAAATAGAAGTGTAAAGAGAAACAGAGAAATAAATAGAGAAATACTCTCTGTAAGTGCAGAAATATACAAATATAGGTATAGAAATAGAGAGAAATAGAAATAAACAGAGAAATATAGAGAGAGTATATAGAAGAACGGAAATATACAAATAGAAGTATTAGAAAGATAGAGAAATTGAAATAATACAGAAATAGAGAAGTAAACAGAAACATAAAGCGAATACATAGCATGGAAATATACAAATATAGAGAAACAGAAACAATATAGGAATAGAGAAGAAAATAAATAAATAGAGAGTGCAGAAGCATAGAACTATACAAATAAAAGAATACAAATGTAGACAAAGAAATGCAGATACAGCGAAGGAAAGAAATAAGAAACAGAGAGAAGAATATGAAATACACAAATGGAAACGCAGAGAAAGAAGATCTAGAAGCAGAATCTGAGCTCACCTGAAATGGGCCATATGGTAGAACATCGGCTGCTTATAAAAGACATCTTTCTCCTTGTCTACAATCACCGGACTGTCCACATAATTCTTGCTCCAGTTGGGTCCCCCTTCCATGTCCAAAACCAGGTTCCAGTCTGTCCAGCCGGTGACGTAATCGTTGAGATTCTGCGGAGGAAAGTCAAAATGGCATTGTCTCTCTCTCTCTCTCTCCTTTCTCTCCTCTCTCTCTCTTCTTTCACTCTTTCTCTCCTCTCCTCTTTCTTCTCTCTCTCCTCTCTCCTTTCTCTTTTCTCTTCTCTCTCCTTTCTCTTCTTTCACTGTCTCTCTCTCCTCTCTTTCTCTTCTTTCTTCTCTGTCTCTCTTCTTTCACTCTCTCTCTCTTCTCTTTCCTTTCTCTTCTCTCTTCTCTCTCCTTTCTCTTCTTTCACTCTCTCTTTCTCTCTCTCTCCTCTCTCTCTCCTTTCACTC